AATTGTGGTATATTCCATTCAAGATTCTAATAAAAGTTTTATGTAATCTGAACATTTTAGAACACATATATAAATTGCAAATTGTCTTTGGAACACATCTTTTTAAAAACATTAAAATTTAAAACCTTCTACATATATCTCATTTCAACCATTGGACTCACGATACTTTCAAAATTAACAATTCATATACGTAAATATGTCACTTTTATGCCTGTTTATATACTTTTATGCCGTTATGTAATTTTTCATGAAAAATAAATAAAATCCAATATTTTATGTGTATTATTTGAATTTAAACATACAAAATGTGTTGTTCAATAATACGAATTTTTCGGTATTACGAAAGGGCCTGACACTATATAATTCGTACTAGTGGACGTCCACTGTATTTAAAATCTGATAAAATAAGTCCTAAATAAATAATTGTGGAAAATTATTACTCTGCTTGTCTGGTTGTAATTTCTTTCAGGTTTCTAAACAATATGAGAGAATATAAACATGAATTATATTTTTCCTCTTCAGAATTTGTCGAAGGACTTCCTTTGAACTTTATGTCAGAAGTACAATTTTAGATTATTATTTCAGTAAGAAAATGAATTTCAAATTGTACAAAATGGGTCATTGGTGTACCATTGTACTTTTGAGGATTGAATTGTATCAAAAAAAGTACAATTTTACCAATTTTGCCAACCCTGGCTCTTCCGACGTTGACCTATATTTTTGTTTATCAAATTTTCGACTTTCAGAGTGAACTTTGGTTTTAATTTAAATTTCACTTTGTTTAGCCGTTAAAGTTTCGGACAGCAAAATAATAAAGTACCTATTTGATAGCTGAGTGTTTTCTCTAAGGAGGATTCCACAAATCGTCTTTAAAATAATCGAAGAATCAACTTTTTGTCTTAACAAAGTCGAAATATAAATCGAAAAAATCGAAAAGTCGGGAGAAATCGAAAATTGTCGAAAAGTCGGAAAAAGTCGAAAAGGGTCAGAAAAATCAAAAAAAAGTAGAAAAATCGAAAACTTTAGGCTTTTTCCAACAGTTTAAATTAAGTTAAATAATTTTTTACTTAATTAAAAAAATATTTAAAAACATTCCAAAATTCTTTATATTTTTGCTTCAAGTAAGAAGAAAAATACTTTTTGTGTTTTTTCTAATTTTCTACCTATATATATTTCGTGTTATATTTATATTTCGTGTTATATTATGTGTTACGATATACGTTTTGATTGTTTGTTTGTTTTTTGTCGATTGTTTTTCTCGGAAAAAATCGAAAACTCGGAAAAAGTCGAATACAGTGGACGTCCACTAGTACGAATTATATACAGTGGACGTCCACTAGTACGAATTATATAGTGTCAGGCCCTTTCGTAATACCGAAAAATTCGTATTATTGAACAACACATTTTGTATGTTTAAATTCAAATAATACACATAAAATATTGGATTTTAATTATTTTTGTTATATTTTTCATGAAAAATTACATAACGGAACAAAATATAATAAATGTGTATTATTTTAAATAAATTTCTTGTACATAAACAGGCATAAAAGGGACATATTTACGTATATGAATTGTTAATTTTGAAAGTATCGTGAGTCCAATGGTTGAAATGAGATTATGTAGAAGTTTTTAAATTTTAATGTTTTTAAAAAGATGTGTGCCAAAGATGTGTGCCAGATTACATAAAACTTTTATTAGAAACTTGAATGGAATTGAATGGAATTCTCTAATTTATAATTTTCTCTTAAAAATTAGAATAGTTATCCTTAAACCCATTGTTTGGAATGTGGAGTCACACTACTTTCAAAATTAACAGTTCATACATACATATGTATATATGTAGTTGGAATAAGTTCGAGAAGTCGACTTTTTATAACACACAAAATTTGAAAAGTCGAAAAGTTGACTTTCCATAAAAAGACTTTTATAAAACGAAAAAGGCGAAAAGTCGACTTTTCATAAAACGAAAAAAGTCGACAAGTCGACTTTTTTCAACTATAGAACCCTAACTTTGTATTTCTTTTGTCCTAAAGCTCCACAATACATTGTTGCATTTGCAAAAGTTTCCCACAATGTTTGATTTCCCATTCGTTTATTCCTGATGCGTACATTTATTTGCATATTGATATGCATACAACATTAGTTTATCCTTCAGAATGTAACATCTATGTATATAGGAAATAGGGGTTTATAAATCGAATTTCGAATAAAACCACCTTTTCTTGTCGAGAAGTCGAAGACAAAAATAAAGATTAATAAAAACTATTTTTTTTGTTGAAAATTGTATTTTGTTAAAAAAATTTTTTTAAAATATTAAATTAAAAATAGGATTTTTTAAAAGTGTTTGGAACTTAACAAAATTCCAAGAACATATTTAGAAAAATTTAAATATAAGTAGGTATATCTGCACATGTTTGTTTACATTCACGTTATTTCGTTATGGATTGCATTTTTAATGGTTTTAGATAAAATATCAAGAGGAGTATTTAATAAATAATATTTATTCCTTGAACCAGACAAAATTGAAGGTGTCATTACTATTTTTGTTTTAATGCAAAAAAGCTAATATTCTTAAAAAAGAAAATAATTAAAAAATACTTGTTAAATTGAAAGTAATTTGAATAACACGTTTCATATTTTGTTTAAAAAAGAAAGCTAAAAAAGAGTTCTTTATTGTTTAAAAACAAGTTTCAAAATAAATTGTACAGATTAAAAAAAATGTACTGTTTATAAAAAGTTGCTGAAATAATTCATATTTTGAGATATTCTGAGCTTGATTGATAGACAAAATATAATTCTAAACTTCTAAACTTTAATATCTAAAGCGATGACTTAGTAAAAACTATAGCATGTAAAGCTTTTACATTATACCACATATGGTCTAAACGAAATATGTAATAAAACCATCACACATTGAGTGAAAATACGGAAAGGAAGTAAGTAAAGTCTTATAGTCTAAAGGGCCCTTAAGTGTAAATAAATATGTATTTAAGGTGGTTCCAAAACAATAAAAATTAAAGTATAATTCAATCACGGAGTCAATGCCTTTGTAATTTTTTGGAAACATTTTTGTTCTTTGTAAATTTTTACAATGAACTTTTTGATATACCCAGCAAAAACTTCACTTAATCGATAAGCAGTCATGTAATATTGGAGCAAAGTGGAAGTAGAGTCAATTATGGATCGGCTGCGTTTATTAGTCTATCCGCTTACTCAATGCTCCATTACGAAGTAATGTACCAAATAATGGGGTTTTCCGTTTTTTTATTTTTATTCGTAGAAACTAATTTTATGTGATTTCTTCGAACCTGATATTGTTCCCCCTCTGATTGGTTTACGTAAAGGTTTCGAAAAATCAAAATTGACGTTTTAAAATGTATATATAACTTAAATTAATTAGATTAAATAATTCTATATAGATTTTTTTCTTTACAAGAAATAGAGAAACATTAAACTTTAATTTTAGTAAGAGACATTAGAAACGTTTGTTTTGGGGCCTAATTATCATTTCATTTTTGTTAATTACGTATTATACCAACATTCCATACGATTGACATTCGCACGCCTTCAGAGTGGTATAGATTTTGTAAAATTAGGAGTACTTGGAAAACAATTTTGTCATTCTGTTCCGTTTAAAGAATACTATATTTCCAAAATATGGATTAAAATATGGCGATATCATACGTGACAAAAAACGGAAGTGTTTTTAAAGTACATGTAAATATTTACGAAAATCTGCGAATTCTGTAGGTGTATCTTTTTTGTTTTAATTTCTTACACTATGGGACATATTTTTCATTAGTAATCCATAATTTTTAAATAAAAAAAGAAATTAATATAATTTTATAATGAACATATTTAAATATCGTACGTGACACATCGTATGTGACAGATTTTTCTCCTGATTTTTTTTTAGGTTATAAAATATATATTTTAGAAATATATGCATACACATACTTCAACAAATCAAAAGGAGTAGGAAAGTGCAGTCGGACATGGCCGACCTATATACATGTTTAAGCAATTTATAGATAAAAATAAAAAACTGGAGTTATATGGCGACTAGGGTCAAATATGGACCGATCCCCATAAAATTCTAGGGTGTGATTTTAATTCATATAAAACTTATTTGTGCCAAATTTTATCATAATACTAGTGATTAGAGGTGAGTTACAGACGTTTAAGTGTTTTTCTGAAATTAAACTTTGAATGGAACTAGGCTCAAATGAGGTCCAATCGTTATGAAAATCGGCATAAAGGTTTAGGCTTATAAACATTTTAGATCTGCCGATTTTTGAAGGGATAGTATTATAATTAACAGAATTATGAGCTAAAAAGTGATATTTTCGGTTCCGTTTGTATGGCGGCGAGGTGTAAAAATAGACCGATTTCAAAAATTTTCAACAGTCTTCGCCTTTGGTGCTACAAAAGATCATATACCAAATTTTGTTGAATTATCTTCAAAAATGCAGAAGTTATAAGGGTTTTATTTTTTTCAGTTGTGGTTTACCTTTTCATGGAATTGCCCATATGTATCTGAGAAAGTATTAGAACTAAACTCTGGCATCTATGTAAAAATATTGATCTAGAATCCTCAAATTTTGCACGAAAAACTTTGACATTCATGTGAACATGGGAGGTACCATACGCCTATTGCAGACTATCAATATACCTAAAGTAGCGTCTTATATCTGAATAACGAATTTGTTTTGTCAAATTCCCTAATAAGAGATTTAGATTTCTGTCCTAATATTTTGTTCTTTATTTATTTTATATTTTATATTTTATAGGTTATCAATTGGATTTAAAATACGGATAGTGGACATGGACATAAATATAAAAATACCTCTATACTGTTCTCTTATGTATTGTAAAGGGAACCTACAATTCGACTTGACCAAATAATTCAATTTTCCATTGTATTTTTCGCCTTTGTTCTCTCACATACTTATTTTCAAAGTTTAGTTATAATGTGCCGGTTTTGTTCATGAATGAACAGTCTTGGAGAAGTGTTTTTAGTCGGTGGACGAAAGCTCATTTTGTTAAAACGTTTTCGGAAAGTCAATCGTAAATAAAATATTTAGTTTTATTTTATTTGTTTTGGTGAGGTTCGTTTGTTTTTATTTCAGTCTCTTTCGCTTAAAGAAAATGTGTGTGGAAACAAAACGCTGATAAATACGAAGAACAAATGAAATACGAAGTGAAAATACATATTACAAAAGATATAAATAAATATTTGGGATAAAAAATACACAATAAATACTAAAGATACATTTGCATATATTTTTAAAATACAAATATTCATGTGGTGTGACAGATTTATTTAAACGAAACTAAAAGTAATTAAAACAAAATAAAAACCATGTGTATTTCATAGTTTTAATCATTGAAAAAGATGAAAGAGAGAATGCACAAATAACGAAGAGAGTGAAAGAATATTTAATATTTTGTTTTCTTTTTAAACAATTAATATGCAACAAGTTTATACCAATTAACTAACTACATACTAACAACAAATCCATGGAATAAATTAAAGAAATAAACCAGATATAAATTTTTATTTGTATCTGGAACTTATATAAATTCGAAATAAATATTTCAAGTGATTTTTTATTATTGTTAATTTTTTAAGTGTTTAAATTGAATACTACAACAATAACAACAACATTGTGATGTTTATTTATTAATTAGTATTGCAAAAAAAGAATACAAAAATTCATTTAATAAAGAATGTTTATTAAATTGATCAAAAAATAACTTGTTATACAACAATAACCAAATGTTAAGCATTTTTTTCTTAATTTTTAAATACTTATTGCACATTCTGTGGCCTCCACCCAAAAATTGTATATCATCTAAATGTTTGTAGCCCATCCAATAGTATTCAAATCTATAATAGTTTAAATTTATGGCGATGAGTAAGTAAGGCAAACTCTTTTAAGCAACTGGTTTAGAAAACCTTCTTAGAGTTACATTAGCGTGGTGTGTTATGAAATATTTCAATTTCAAAATTTCAGAGTTTTTAACGGATTTTTTAATGACTTTCTACTGAAAGTTTGTGTAAAATCGGATATCATTAACTCGTCACATATCGGTTCTGAATAGGACAAAACCATGATTGACAACAACTCGAAGAATTAAAAAAAACAAGTTGCATGATGTACCCCGTTTCTCTATTTTTCACATCGAGAAAAATTGTCCGAAAATTTGTGATCATCCTGTATAAAATATTTAAATATTTGTTGTTAAATTTTAATGCGTACATTTTGAAAATAAACTGAATAACCCCCTTAAAAACTGGAAGACCATCATATTTTTATTTTTTTCTCGATTTGAGAAAAATACAGAAACGAGGCACTGGTTGTAAATAATAGATAGATAGATAGAATAGATAGATAGATAGATTGATAGATAGATAGATAGATAGATAGATAGATAGATAGATAGATAGATAGATAGATAGATAGATAGATAGATAGATAGATAGATAGATAGATAGAGATAAGATAGAGATAGATAGATAGATAGATAGATAGATAGATAGATAGATAGATAGATAGATAGATAGATAGATAGATAGATAGATAGATAGATAGATAGATAGATAGATAGATAGATAGATAGATAGATAGATAGATAGATAGATAGATAGATAGATAGATAGATCTAGATAGATAGATAGATAGATAGCTAGATAGATAGCTGATAGATAGATAGATAGATAGATAGATAGATAGATAGATAGATAGATAGATAGATAGATAGATAGATAGATAGATAGATAGATAGATAGATAGATAGATAGATAGATAGATAGATAGATAGATAGATAGATAGATAGATAGATAGATAGATAGATAGATAGATAGATAGATAGATATATAGATAGATAGATAGATAGATAGATAGATAGATAGATAGATAGATAGATAGATAGATAGATAGATAGATAGATAGATAGATAGATAGATAGATAGATAGATAGATAGATAGATAGATAGATAGATAGATAGATAGATAGATAGATAGATAGATAGATAGATAGATAGATAGATAGATAGATAGATAGATAGATAGATAGATAGATAGATAGATAGATAGATAGATAGATAGATATATAGATATATAGATAGATAGATAGATAGATAGATAGATAGATAGATAGATAGATAGATAGATAGATAGATAGATAGATAGATAGATAGATAGATAGATAGATAGATAGATAGATAGATAGATAGATAGATAGATAGATCGATCGAATATATCCATTACATGTAAAAATAAAAAGTACATATCTCAAGTTATGCAAAAAGACATGATTTCGCATTTTTGAAATCTCCGTACTCAACTCTATATTGTGTCAATTTTGTATAAAGATCGGTTCAGAACTTTTGAAAATGTCGAATTTTTTTAGATGTGTTTTACTATAGTATTGTATTGGAATTCAAAACTTTAAAACGTTCTCCTGAAAAGTACAAAAAGCAACTTATGTACTTTTGCCTTTTTACCACAGAAATATTTGTGCTCCATCGTTTTAAATTCATGGTTAAATGCCAATTATGTCTGAATATGTGTGTGATGATGCCATCATTTAACGTTTGTTATAGCAAAAATATTTCGAAAAAATCTTCAACACAATTTAGTATAAATTTCTAATTTGGACAATTTGGATGGGCATTACTTATGTATGTTTGTTTGTAAACGCTTTGAATTGCAAAAAAGGTTAAAGAATATACGAAAATTTAAAAGAAAGTTATACAAATTTCAATTCCATATTTAATTATTGTGCGTGCCTTATAATAAATAAATTTACAAAACATTGAATTTATACCTATATGTATGTATGTATCATACATAAATGCACAAATTATATTAGATAGACATTTAGGATTTAAATAAATGCAAACAAAGACCTTAAAATTTAAATACAAAAATCACAACAATAATAACGGCAACGATAAGATCGCCAACCATGGAATAACAATTCGATACAATATGATCTGAATATAAAACAAGTTAGAGTGTTGTATACGACTATGCCGAATCTTATATACCCATCATCAAACCGTATGCCGTAAATGGAATGCTCACATATAAACATTAGGTTGATATTTGACATAGGGCTTAAGTCAATTATGGACACATCCCTTTCGGATTCACAAAATATTCACTTCTAAAAACAAAATATATTTGTCCAACTTTTAAACCATGAACATACATACATATATGGGCGGTCAATCGGGGTCAATTATAAAATTCGGTAGAGATTTTGGCTTGTAAGAAACTTTCTTCTATATATCGCAGTAGTGAGCGTTTAAGTAATTTTCTGAGGGGGACCTAATAAGGAGCCAGAATATACATACATATATACTTTTGTGGGTCTATGATCAATATTTTGATGTGTTACAAACGGAATGACAAAATCATTCTTTTTTGATGGTGGGTATAAAAAATAACAAACAGACCGACAAAATTTGAAGAAGTCGTAACCCAGAGACTAAAATTATACCCTTAAATTATAGCGAAAAAATAATTCATAGCGAAAATATAAAGAATCTATCTAACTTCAAGACGACTTAACATATGTTGTTTATAAAACTGAATTCGCACTTTATAATGTCTCGAATATGGTGATAAACGGTGTTTTTTAAACTTTAATATGATTCGGATTCAGCGCAACTCAAACCTTTAGAAAATTGTAATCTGGTCTCAGTGTAATAAACATTTGTTGTTCTGTGTAATATTTAAAACCGTTTGAATATTTAACGAATTTATTTTGTTTATTTTTTTCCATGGATTCGTTCGTTCAAATTGACAACAATTAAAAAAATTAAGAAATAGAGAGCGAGAGAAGAATCACAAGCAACAAAAACTCAACTGCAGCAACAAATTAAAAAAAAAAAAAAAAAACAAAAATGACTTCAACCTCAACAATAAAACGATTTATATACATTTTCGATGTTCTTTGTACAGTAAGTATTATTTTTGTTATAAATATTCTCGTATCCGTACATATCTACAAATATTTTCCCTAGAATTTATAAGTTATTTAAGTTATAAGAAACGGACCTACCCGAATAGGTGCCATGTGCTAGGATTGTATTACAATACCAAATATATAATTTAAACTGAATAATATTTATACCCTACATATGTAGCAATATTCGGTGGCGTTTCATGTACGTTAAGATACACCAAAAGTGTCATAGTGTCCATGGACGTTATGATACACAAAAAAAAATGTCCATGAGGATGTATATTAAAAAAGTTTAATTTCGTGAAGCCGGTGTTGGAAACCTGATTTTAAAATCCCTCCGACCGGTCGAAGGCCGAATATACAGGACACATTAGGTAATCTAAATTGCAGCATATGTACATCAAAGGAGCATTTCTATTAGACAACCCAGAGTTCCTTTCTTAAATTATAAACAAATATTCCAATACATATCTGTTTTAGTTAGTTAGTTAGTTTGAAAGGAGGATGTACATACATATATGTATACATCTGTATACATATACATATGACCGAAGAAATACACCTAGGCCACTATCGGGCCTGTTGTGCGCTCCTTATAATGAAAAAAAAGGGAACTGAATGAATTATTTTTCAGTGTTCATAAACTCAGTTTCCTGAAGGTAATTCCTAAGAATCTTCCAATCAGTGTTAGTCAGGAATGTTATTTCCGGAATAACATCACTTCCAAGATACTTGGATCTAACTTCGACGAATGCCTGGCAGTGGCAAAGAAAGTGCTCCAGAGTTTCACTGTCCTCTCCACATGCTCTACATTCGTCTGAATCCGCACGTCCAATTTTGCATAGATGTGCTCGTAATCCTGTGTGTCCACTCAGAATACGTATCATCATACTAACTTCAGACTTGCTCATTTTGAGGAGATTTTTTGTCTTGCTCTCATGAGGGTTACCCCATAGGATCTCGTGGTTCTACAAACTGTTTCATTACTCCAAGAGGCCTTATGGGATTCTCTCACCCATATTTTTAGTTCAGCTTTTGTTGCGTCGAATGGTTTCGCGTTTGTCAGGTTAACTGCCTCGAGCTCCCTACCCTTTAAGGGCCAATCTTTAGGTGAAAGATTAGCGATTAAATTAAAATTAATCCTCGAAAGATGTTTTTGAGTACTCAATTAGTTAATTTTGTTTGCAAGTCTAAGCGCCCAATGGAGGTGGTTTAATCTTAAGCACGAAATGCAAAAGTGTAAACAGCAGATGCAAAAAAATTAATAAAATTTTTATAAATATAAACATTAAAATGTTCTATTTATTGATAAGTATAAATTATGGACACTTCAAAATACATTTTTTTGTTTTTAATTTAAGTTTTCATTATTTTTCATATTAAGTTTACAATTATCTTCATCTTTTTTATAAAATATGCAATGTTTTGATAACAAACTGTGACATTTTCTGTTGTTTTGTATGGCAACACTGCGAAGTTTAATCTTGTACTCAAAAACATCAAAGGGTATTAACATAAGATTAAATTTATTTTTAGATTAACTAATCTGATTATTAATTGGCATTTGATTACCATCTCAAAAACCCGTTCTAAAGCTATTACATTCGCCCTTTCGTTACCGACTACTCCCGAGTGGGCTGGTACCCATATGATGTGAACCTTACCTCTGGAAGAGTATTCAGTTAAAGCTTTCTTACAATCCAATACGGTCTTAGATTTAGTTCTATCTAATATCGCCCTAATTGCCTTCTGGCTATCGGTAAATATATTAAGCGCTGTGGGCGCCATATTTATTGTATTCCAATTTACGCATTCCGTTATTGCTCGTATTTCTGCCTGGAAGCTTGTGTTATGATTTGTAAACGGTGGTATATTTCTGTTTCTGGGTCTTCAATAAAGAACCCCAGCCCCACTTTGTCCCCCAACTTAGAGCCATCCGTGTAACAACGGATTCCTACTGGTATTTACTCTAATGTTCCGCTTGACCTATTGGATACTCCTATGTAGTGTTTTATATGCTCGGGCATGACCATCTATAATTTCTCAAATTTAGAGTAAATACTTTTTGAATCGGTTAGATATTGTTTAGCTTCCATTCCGTTATTGATATCGCTATCTAATTGATTTAATAAATACAATTAATACAATTTTTGAATTCAAATCGGCCCTTTATATTCCACATAGAGTATTAAAATGTACGCCGAAAAAGTATATCTCTATTTCCCGATCGTTAAATAAGTTTCCGTGGCAAATGTTTTATATTTTTTGATATTTATTCTAAACAAAATCTAATTTTTTTTGATACAAAATTGGAAATTTTCAATATAAACAAGTGCCATTGTTTGACCCACGACATATACAAAGGGGAAAAGTTAGGATAGGTGCTGCTTACCCAAACTTGTAGATTATACTATTAAAAATTCATGTACATTTTTTTGTGAATGGTTTTAGAAATTCGATTTTCCCGGGAAGGTTATTGCTCCAAAATGATCGGAGAAAAATGTTATCGTCATTAGAACACTACTGGCTACCACGTAGTGAAAGGTCACAATTTTGGTTATTACCCTAATGTATGTATGTAACATATCTATATATGAATGAATGTATTCATTTTTATTTTAATTGGAAATTCAATTAAATTTTAGAACGTGAATAATTTGTTTTAATTGATCATTGTTTTATTTCGAGTTCTAAATTATTTTATATTTTTCGTTTGAAATAAACGGACAAACATTTTAAAATAATGCATACATTTTCTCAATATCAATTACTATGCTGGAATTCCTGGAAGTTATTTGAAATTTTTAGGAGAACTACATTTTATATTAAAAATTGTGAATGATTTTTAAAATTTTAAAAATCTCATGCATATAATACATGAAGACTCAAAGCCAATATGATGCAGGGCAGTCTAAATATTTTATTAAATATTACCGCGCAAATCCTAATAATTCTTTAGAAAAAAGACAACAATTCAAATTGGAATATCTTTTCATATATTTATGTAAAAATGAATGAGTGGTTGTATGTATGTTTGTTTGGACTTTATAGACGGCTAAACGGCTGAACCGATTTTCTTGAAATTTTCAGTGTCTTCCGGTATGTCTGGAAGGAACCATAGGCTAGCTTTTTTTGGAAATTTAAATAGGTGAGGTGTCAAGCCCACATGCATACTACAACAGCTAGAGTCCCCAAATTTTGTATGAACAACTTTGACATCCATATGAAATACATGTTGACAAAATGGAAAGCCTATGTACAGTGGGCGTGGCACCTCCCAAATAAACAAATCTTAAATTAGTATATTTGAAAAAGTATAACAACTAGAGTCCTCAATTTTTTTGGGAACCACTTTAGTATCGACATGAATATTTAGGACAAAAATTTGGCGGACTAGCAATAGGGGCCGTGGCACCTCCTATAGGAATTATATACTAAAATTAGTTTGTCTGGGAAACTATTGGAGTTAGAATCTAAAAATTTTGCAAGATGACTTTTAATATCCATGTAGGGGGGCTTGGCACCTGTCATATGAATTAAATACAAAAATTCGTTTATCTCAGAAACTATTAGAGTCAAAATTCTAAAATTTTGCACGAACTACTTTGACATCCATATCAACATTTGTGTGATAAATTAGCGGACTTTATTTTAGGGGCAGGTACCTCCCATATGAATTAAAATATTTTGTACGAAGAACTTTAACATCCATGTGAACATTTGGAAGAAAAATGGGCAGTCTATCATTAGGGAGGATTAGCACCTCCCATATGAATTAAGTACAAAAATTACTATATCTGGGAAACATTTAGAGCTAGAATCATCAAATTTTGCGAAGAACTCTCACATCCATGTAAATATTTGGGTAATAAATTGGTGGACTTTTAAAAAGGCGCTCCCACACAAAAATTCGTATATCTGGGAAACTTTTATAGCTAGAATCTTGAAAAATCGTAAAATCTCTTGTTAATTTATATTGATTTTTGGGTAGCAAAGCACACAGGGTATAGCTAGTTGGAATATAATAACAACATATTCTTTTATTATTACTTATTATTCATTCGCTGCAAATTGTATGAAAAGATAAATAATTTTGAAAAAAGAAAAACGTTAAATGTTCTATTGTATGATGATTATTTCGAAAAATTTAATTTACGCTTAAGTAATTGAATCAGTATTTATTATTAAGTGCAATTTAACTGATATTTCTAGAGGGTTTCTGGTACAATTTTACTTTTAAATTGCTCGGGATAACAATTATGAATAACAAATAATTACTAGTATTGTAATCGAAATGTGAACGTTAAAGTAATTTTTTTATCATCTCGCTTTACAATATTATTTATTACTCATGCTGCATATTCAATATATATATGACTGCTTAAACTGTGTTTGTGGAGTCCCTTGTACGGGGGCTATGTGTTATTCTGCACCGATATTTTCCAATACCAAACCAATCTTTTTACGGAGAATATTTGAAAAAAAAAATGAACTAGCGAGATCATGTCCGTCCATCTATCTCTTATCACTATAAGAGAGCTAACATTTTTTTCACAAACATTATCTATCGTGTTAGGATGCTCCCCTATAGTATCGTATTCATAAAATCTCACCTCAACAATGATTGGTTATAAAAAAATGTCGTCTGATCCTACTACTTGTTAGTATAGGCTATCATATTGTCGAGCATGTCGACTATCCCATATTACGAAATATTTTTTTAGTGTAAAATATTTTAAATACTTGAGATATAGGAACAGATTCAGAAGATGCGAGTTTTCGTAATTGGTCTTTATATGGGAATCTAGAACTGTGTCAGATTTGATTACAAAATTTAAGAAATTAATTCTAAACCGATTGGTGGAAACATTTCAAGATGGATGCAATTTTTGTAAACATTACAAACATCAGTACAAACGCACACACAGTGGGCAAGATATAGAATAGAATATAAAAATAAAACATTTTCTTATTGAATTTTATTTTTGTTGTTTA